TGATTGGGTAACTCAACATCTTGTTGGGTACATTGTGATTCTTAATGTATTTCTTTATGCTCTTTATCACTCCTTGATACTGAAGATAATTTGTTATTGAACCATGAATAGTACAAAATTCATTGAAAGAGAAAAAGGAACAAGTTCTAATATCTTTAACTAAATCATTGATAATCACAATCCCCTTATTGAACCAATTTCTATAGAAAATGTCATTATTACCAATAGTTATGTTTTTGTTATACCATATGGGTGTCTTAAATAAGGAATGATCCTCCTTTCTATACAGTTCTACTTTAGTGCTTAGTCTATACCATGCCTTAAAAACATCCTTCCAAAAAATATTTTTACAATTAGTCCCAATAATCTTAATTAAATACTCACTACCACAATTAGCTAAGACATTAAAGTAAAGTTGGCTTTTTAAAATCATACGCCATTTTCCCTCTGACCAAAATATCTTTCTGATCCAACTGATTTTTAGAGATTCAATAAAACTCAATATGTTTACCATTTTTAGCCCCCCATCTAAATAATTCTGAATAATTACCTCACGCTTAACTTTGTCAATTTTACCATTCCATAAAAAATTGAAAAGAATTGAGTTTAGCTGCTTTATGAAACTTTGATCTGGATTTGGTAAGGAGATAAAAAGATGATTCATCTGTGAAACTAATAAAGACTTAATTATGTTAATTCTCCCAATAGGAGTAAGCTTTCTTTTACTCCATCCCATGATTAAAGATTTAAGTTTAACTAGTTTTTTTATCAAAATTAATTTTAGGAATTCTGTGTAAATCCACATTAAATTCAATACCAAGAAGTGTAAACTTGTCAACCCCCCATTGAAAATTCATATCTGGAAGAAGTACATCACTACTATACTTTTTGCTACCTATCCAAACAATTTGGGTTTTACCTTTATTTACTTTTAGACCAGACATTTTAGCATACAAATTTAGTTCCTCAACAGATCCCTTCAAAGATTTTTCTGTTCCATCTAGTATTAAAGAAGTGTCGTCTGCATATTGAGAATTTAGAATCTGACAGTCATCAATATTGATACCAGTAATATTTCTATTATTTCTTATCCGAATCGCCAATATCTCGGCACAAAGTATAAAAATGTAAGGTGCGATTGGATCGCCTTGGCGATAGCCCCGTTTTATATTAAAGAACGATGATAAGTTACCCCCCTGATTAATTGCAGAACAAGGATTAGAGTGTAATATTTTTACCCAATTTCTCAAATCGTTCCCAAATTTAAAGTACTTAAGCACTTTATCTATAAATTTCCAAGAGACCGAATCAAACGCTTTTTCAAAATCAATTAATAATGGCATTCCCGGGATATTATTTTCTTCAGCATATTGCATGATGTCATAGATGAGCCTAGTATTTTCCCCTAAATGACGTCCTGATATGAAACCTGTCTGATCCGAGTTTATCAATTTTTCTAAAACTAATTTAAGTCTACTAGCTTTAGATCCAGATGCAATTTTGTACACAATATTTAAAAGAGAGATAGGCCGCCAATTTTTCATAAAACATTTCGATTTATTTGCCTTAGGAATACAAGTAATGATGCCTTGACGTTGAGTAATAGATAACTTATCAGTTAGATAACCATAATTTATTGACCTAACCACAACGTTTCCAAGCTGCTTCCAAAAACATTTTTAAAATTCTGAAGTAAATCCATCTGAACCCGGGCTTTTGTTATTTTTCATGTTTCTAAGGGTTCTGGATGCCTCCTCTAGTGTTATTAGTCCTTCCAAACTGTCAGCTTCTACTTTATTCAATTTTGGCACATCAAAATCTAGGAAGTCATCTAAATTCATTTCTTCAACTTCGTTATCAACAGTTGAGTATAATTTTTCATAAAATGTTTTTACTTCTTTTAAAATATCATCTTGTTTTGTTATTAATTCCCCATTTTCCCTTTGCAACTTTGGAATAATTTTTGATGTAAAATTTCTAATTTCTAAACTGAAAAAATAATTTGTTGGTTTTTCCCCTTCATCTATCCATAAAGCTTTTGTTCTAGTTATACTTCCCTTCACCCTATGTGTTCTAATGTTTTCTAATTCCTTTTTTTTCTATTCAACTCTTCTAAATTTATATCATTCTGATTTTCAAGCTTCTGAATTTCATCTATTAGATCATTTTCTCTAAAGTTAATTTGCTTTGTTTATATGACGAGTAAGAGATTGATTTGCCTCTTATTTCCATTAACAAAGTTTCTAAAAACAATTGGTCATCTATAACTAACTGTAAATCTGTATCAGGAACATTATCAATGAATTCAGGATTATAGATGGGGATACAGTATTGAGCTTTTATAGTTGCTATAGTATTATTAACAAGGTTAAGATATTCCTTGTCATGCAACTAAGAGTTATTAAATTTCAATAATCCTTTACCTTTTTTTAATTCGCTGAACTTTAATGTAATTTTTGGGAAGGAATGGTCAGATCTATATCCTGAATCAACACTTGTATTACTAACACTTTGATTTAAACTTCCAGATACTAAAAAATAATCAATCCTAGCTTGTTTTATTGGTCTACTTCTTCGCCATGTGTATCTTTTTGTATTAGGATATTGCTCTCTAAATATATCAACTAGATCTAAATTCTCTATTGTTTCTAAAACCTTTTCCCTTGTCTTTGGATTGTTAATTTTTTGTAATTTTTATCGTAATCTAAATCAGGATTAAGAACCAAGTTGAAGTCGCCACATATAAGTCGTGAAAAGTTTTCTCAATGTTTTCAAAGAAAGCTGGGCTATCAGAGTTAGGACCATAAATAGTTATCAGAGTAAGTTTTCTCCCTCCAATTTCTAAATCCAGTGCCAAAAAGTTCCCTGTCAAATCCTTCTTATTTATCAAAATTACTACCCCCCTAGAATTTGATTTAAAAGAATTAAAATAGCAGTCTTAGCCCCACTCATTCCGTATTAGATCTTTCTTTTCCTCAGTAAAATGTGTGTCTTGAAGACAATAGATATTGTATTTTCTATCTCTCAAATATGTAAATACATCCTTACGTTTAACCTTGTCACCTAAACCCTGACAATTTGCTGATAAGATACTAATTCCCTCCACTAATGTTTATAAAATTATTAATAGATCCCCCAATATGCTTACTTGAAGAAAACACAATTAAGAAAATTAAGTTATTTTTATAATCAGGTAAAAACAAAATAATAACGTAATAATGTCTACTGTCACCCCAGATTGCCACGGAAGCGTACACGGCAGTCCTACGGTGGTCCTACAGAATTTTGAAGAATAGCATCTCACACAACTGTAAAAAAAATATTTCAAAATTCTGCCCATTTGAACTTTTTTTATATGGGGGCTGCCATCTTGTATTGAATTCGGCACTAAAAAATTTACAACAAATTACACACTTAATAAACTCACCTAGACAAAACCAGACTATTTTTTTTTTTTTTTTTTTTTATACATATTACATCTATATATATTGCTCAACCCCCACATAAAACTTTTGAAACTTCTGCCACCTAAATATCCAACCAGCAGGGCCCGAGGCATTCACCTTTCTATTAAATCTTAAACCCACAATCTATTTTTGATTTGGTTCCGTGGTCCCTCTACTTATACCGTATACTGACCTACCTCATCTAGTCGATGAATATCTCGACCAATCACATGACAGGTTTTTCACTAGAGGTTTAATGAGGAAGAATGTATGCATGTTTGCACGAGTGAATGACTGAATAAATAAATGAATCAATTAATTAATCAGTCTATTATTATTTTAAGTATGGCCACGCGGCAGCGCGATTCTTCTGCAGCCATTCCAGGGTTGTCCAGCTAAATGGTCAGTGGGCTTTCAAACGTTTGGGACGGGAAATGGTACCAACAGTTATACAGACCCCGAAAGCTTCCGAGAAGGCAAAGGTAAGTTAACTACTGACGTAAAGCAAGTGTTTGGTGACCAAACCATGATCTGTGGGGCTTGTTGAACATTTACTCAAATAGTAGCGTAGGTAGTATAAAATAGCATGCTATTAGTACAATATACCAACTTCTACAATGGCCAAACATTATCCCCCTCGTTGAAGTGTCTGTTCGATGAACAATATTCACTAAAAATACAGAGAAAGGACGCATCATTTTTGAAAATCTTGTTTGTTAATGTAGATATCCAGACGAATGAAACCTTTTAGTCTATTGTATAACAAATTGAGATCCATTGATGATTCTTAAGATAAAAATGTATGAAAATTCTGTCAAAGTGTAGAATACAGAGAAAAGAGGGAGGAACTTCTAAAACCCTTTATTCTATATTGCCAATTCTAAAACACTGTCACTTACACCTAAACTAGTATATCATGTCTGTCAGAATAAATTACAGCTTTCCAATCTCATGGCTAATGGTCAAACCTCAGAGTTCGGACAACGCCGGGGAATGATTAGCCACCAGCACAGCATGTGCACCCTCATGGGCCTGATAGTCAACCAACAGAGTACGGCAACCCTCGAGGACTGATAGTCCACAAATAGAGTATGGTAGCCCTCGGGAACTGATAGTCCACCAACAGAGTATGGCCAACCTCAGGGACTGAAAGTCGATCAACAGAGTACGGGCAACCTCATGTACTGAAAGTCCAGCAACAGAGTACGGCCAACCTCGGGAAATGAAAGTCAATCAACAGAGTACGGCCAACCTCAGGGACTGATAGTCCACTAAAAGAGTAGGGCAGCCCTCGGGGAATGATAGTCGATCAACAGAGTACGGGAAACCTCGGGGACTGATAGTCCACTAAAATAGTACGGTAGCCCTTGGGGAATGATAGTCGATCAACAGAGTACGGCCAACATCGGGGAATGACAGTCGATCAACAGAGTACGATCAACCTCAGGGACTGATAGTCCACTAAAAGAGTACGGCAGCCTTCGGGGAATGATAGTCGATCAACAGAGTACGGCCAACCTCGGGGAATGATAGTCGATCAACAGAGTACAGCCAACCTCGGGGAATGATAGTCGATCAACAGAGTACGGGCAACCTCAGGGACTGATAGTCCACTAAAATAGTACGGTAGCCTTTGGGGAATGATAGTCGACCAACAGAGTACGGCCAACATCGGGGAAGGATAGTCGATCAACAGAGTACGATCAACCTCAGGGACTGATAATCAACTAAAATCGTACGGTAGCCCTCGGGGAATGATAGTCGATCAACAGAGTACGGGCAACCTCTTGGAATGATATTCGATCAACAGAGTACGGGCAACATCGGGAAATGATGGTCGATCAACAGAGTACGACCAACCTCAGGGACTGATAATCCACTAAAATAGTACGGTAGCCCTCGGATAATGATAGTCGATCAACAGAGTACGGCCAACCTCAGGGAATGATAGTCGATCAACAGAGTACAGCCTACCTCAGGGACTGATAGTCCACTAATATAGTACGGTAGCCCTCGGGGAATGATAGTCGATCAACAGAGTACGGCCAACCTCGGAAACTGATAGTCCAGCAACAGAGTACAGCCAATCTCAGGGACTGATAGTCCACTAAAATTGTACGGCAGCCCTCGGGGACTGATAGTCGATCAACAGAGTACGGCCAGCCTCGGGGAATGATGGTCGATCAACAGAGTACGGCCAATCTCAGGGACTGATAGTCCACTAAAATAGTACGGCAGCCCTCGGGGACTGATAGTCTACCAACAGGGTACGGGTAACCTCGGGAACTGATAGTCCAGCAACAGAGTACGGCCAACCTCAGTGACTGAAAGTCCACTATCAGGGTATAACTGTTTTTTCCCCCCATTCAAATGAAGACAATGCTGAGTCTGTCAGCTGCTGTATGTGTGTAATTCATTGTGTTTTAACATTCCACAGATGAAGACGATGGCGAATCTGTCACCTTGTATTTGTGTATGAAGTCGTCTGAATTCGGGACATACGACTGGCCAGCTGGAGACTATTGTACTATCGAATACGGTGACTGTCCTACAGGTAATAACACTCCTAGATCTGGATCTTAACGTGTAGCTTAGTTGGCACATTTATCATACTTGGATCTAAACGTGTAGCTTAGTTGGCACATTTATCATACTTAATTCAAATTTCGAAGGTCTGGGGAGACATCAGCAATGTTTAGACAATACAATTATAAGAGCGTAGCTCTCGGGCGCCGAAGGCTCTCTAATGGTAACACATGCGTGCGTAAACAGAGTTGTTTCCCCTATTTTACGTCCGGAAGTAGACGTCCAGTGGGGAAATAGGAAGTGTATATTTGAAGCAAAGACAATTGTGTTTCAACCCATACATGAATATCTTCATAAAGGGAAAACAATCTTCATGTTTTATTTAAAAAAAGTCTATCACATAAAAGATACTAACAGGCATGTAACTTCGTTTAGAGATCATAATACCATGACGTCACAAACACGTCACAACCCATCGGCCATCATCAGTTATTTTCGGAAGGATAAAAAATAACCGGAAAAATCCTGGAACTGATGTCCTTTGCAATTATCTCTTTTTCGGTTCTTCAAGACTTTTTATTTCAGTTTTTGCAACATGCACAAAAAGAACAAACGAAGATCCTTTTTGTTATCAACCCGGCTCTGTTAATATTTTTACTGGGAGATATCTTCAAACAGAGCCGGCATTAAACAAATAGGTCAACGTGTACATTTATTTTTCATCATCTAAAGTTTCATCAGCTTTTGATTTCCATTTGTTGAGAATATGAACGAAATAATTAATCATGCATCACCACTCATCAAAGAAACAATGGAAAATGCATTTATGTCGAAATCAACAATAATTTTCCAGACAACCAACCCAAGTGCAACGCTCTTTTTCAGCAACGTATTACTTGTTCACAACGCGTGTCGATTTCGCTGACAGTGACAAAATTTGAAATTCAATCCGGGTGGATGGAACAATAATTAGAGACTAAATATCGATATAACGACAATCTCAGTTACATCAAAGTATTACCATGTTTTCTTTTTTTAAATTTTATTTTGGCAACTTACAAGTCTATAGATTTTCTTAGACTAATCGTCAAATATGTAATATGCACTTTTTTCTATAGCAATTACCAAACAGGAGAAAATTACTTTTGAGAGGGTAGAAAGAAAATCATGATCTCGCTTCTAGTTTTTCGAACTTTTTGAAACGGAATTGCAACTTTTTTTACGGTCAAACGTGTTACACACTGACAACTTCAAATGTTATACATAAAAGCCAAGCCAATTACTCACTACCATATTGCTGTATAATAAGAATTTGATAAAATATCAATTTGGGCCCGGACATGTTTGGTCAATGATACCGTGGCAAGTTCGGCCCATGTAACACATAAAAAGTCGTAAAATTGGCGGTAAAATCTGACGTTGCAGGCTTTATAACGTCATAATTAAGCTGATTCCAATGGGACCGAACTTACCCGAGTGCCTGTCCGAACTTACCCATGGCGGGGCTCGTTCGGCCATCCGATCTTCCGACAGGAAACGTTAAATAATGTTCAAAATCGGACGTGCTGCCATACTTCCCAGAACGGTCATAAATGATAATAAAAAAGGTCGAACTTGCCCCGGTCTCCCCTATTGTTATGTCGGTCTTAATCTCATTAGAGTTTGTGTTTTGTTGTTATCCCTCGACTAGGGTTATCTTATCTCATTCTGAAAGCAGTATTCTGAATCAGTAAATATCAGAGATCAACCAAAGCTACGCTCTGTTAAGGCTTTGCCTTTTCATTTAAGCATTGAACTGTTTCTGTATGGTATTTATGATGAAATAGATCATAACCACCATACTAAAACAGTTAAATACTTATATTTACGTTTTCTCTGCCTCTTATGTTCATTTTTAACTTACAATTGATATTTAAAATTTAAAATGCCCGCCTTATCGACAGTCCACACAAATTCTTTCAATAGTTGGAACAGCGTGTTGTCGCGTGCTGATTGGCAAACAAAGCGGTACTTTGACATTTTAACAAACACTTCAATTTTATTCTACAATTCAGTATCAATACAATTGCGTATGATATGTCTATAGGGTGATTCAAGTTAATCAATAGAACTCTGAGCTGAAAGTTAGATTTGAAATTGTTTCGATTTTTCTCCAGAACAAATTTCACGCATGGATAAATACAGTAAACCGACCCTACCTTCCACGAGGGAGTTATTTTTGGAAGTTACATGAGCAAGAGGAAAGTTCGAATATGTGAAGATTCCAGACGTAAATTTGTTCGTTGATTGTATGGGAATCTGACTACAGTCAGTAGATTCTATAACAGCCTCGTTATTTGACATGTCGTCAGAAACTGAGGAAACCGTAGCTTCGAGACACGTGAAACTGATATCGTTTGAAGTGAATGATCTTGCGATGGAGCACAGGGGTTCGTTACAAATGTCTGAAATGTTTATGTGTGCTGTGACTCATATCAGTAGGTCTGTAACATATGTGTTAGTAGGTCTATGAAATATATGTATTTCAGACATTTGTAACGAACCCCTGTTGATCAGTTCAGTGTAACAGACAATATTTCTGATAAATTGCATGAGCGTTAAAATTGTTTCCATTGCCGGCATTGGTGATTTCAGCCGATGTGCATTTTGTACGATGTTGCAGACCCTGGTCTTGTTTTTATTGTAATAAAAGTATATATATTTTTTTATTGTTTATTTTGCACATAAATTTATAATGACATTGTCAAGGCTCACAATGCCCAGCGATATTTCAGCAGCCGTCATGTTTATTTACATTGGATATTGTAGTTCCGGTCAGTGTTGTATCAATACGCTAAGAATTGTGTCTCGTGCTGCATGGTAATTAAAGTCCCATCAACGACACGCTATATAATGACAATGCCATGTAAATGTAAATATATTATAGTGATTACAAATAATATACAAATCTATATAAAGAAAACCTTTGAACTATATAATATGAGGTAGGTGGCGCCTATTGTTGAAACGATTCTTGTGTCCCTATTATTGTGCATCTTCAAACTCCTCAAATACACTGTACATCAGACATGTACTTGTACTTTCCGGGAAGTGTAGCGTAAAACGTTCAAATTAGTCTTAAACTCCTCTTATATGTAATGGAGAAATTGAAGGATACACGCAGACGAACTCTATTTAAGTAATATCGAAGAAACCGCGGCGCAGCTTATGGGTGAGATCCGCGGGCTTTAAAGTTAAGGTAGCTCCTCTGGTATATTCAAACGACAGTTATCAGTGTAGCGATTGGTTAACCTTTCCCCACGTGACACCAAATATCGTACTCCGAGCCTTCGTATATTTTACGATATGTTAGGGTGAAGATATGTTTGTATCGAGATAGAAACCCTTTGATTTGACTTGGTAGTTTTATTTCCTTTTTACATCATCAAATCAAAAAACATGCATCACTCCGCTACATTCTGCGGTTCATTGATAGCAAAAATCCCCACTGCAATACAGGAAAATGACATGAATCTCATGACTACTCATAACGGTTCATAGTCTTATAAACCGAAACGAAGTTTACTCGATTCATATAGTGGAATTGCAGCCCAAATGTAAATATCACAATTAATACCTTTGATCAGAAGCCGATCCCCCGTCACAATTAATACCTTTGATCGGAAGCCGATCCCCTGTCACAATTAATACCTTTGATCAGTAGCCGATCACCTGTCACAATTAATACCTTTGATCAGAAGCCGATCCCCTGTCACAATGAATACCTTTGATCAGAAGCCGATCCCCTGTCACAATTAATACCTTTGATTAGAAGCCGATCCCCTGTCACAATTATAACCTTTGATCAGAAGCCGATCCCCCGTCACGATGAATACCTTTGATCAGAAGCCGACCCCTGTCACAAGGAATACCTTTGATCAGAAGCCGATCCACTGTCTCAATGAACACCTTTGATCAGAAGCCGATCCCCTGTCACAATTAATACTTTTGATCAGAAGCCGATCCCCTGTCACAATTAATACCTTTGATCAGAAGCCGATCCCCTGTCACAATTAATCCCTTTGATCAGAAGCCGATCCCATGTCTCAATGAATACCTTTGATCAGAAGCCGATCCCCTGTCACAATGAATACCTTTGATCAGAAGCCGATCCACTGTCACAATTAATACCTTTGATCAGAAGCCGATCCCATGTCTCAATGAATACCTTTGATCAGAAGCCGATCCACTGTCTCAATGAATACCTTTGATCAGAAGCCGATCCCCTGTCACAATTAATACCTTTGATCAGAAGCCGATCCCCTGTCACAATTAATACCTTTGATCAGAAGCCGATCCCCTGTCACAATTAATACCTTTGATCAGAAGCCGATCCCCTGTCACAATTAATACCTTTCCCCCGTTACTTTAGCACTGAGGTTAACACATTCACCATCTGAATACAGTCCGCTAACACTGACCATGATCGAAAATCTGACGACAGCGATCGTGAGAAGTTTAGATGCCTGGTAGAGTAAATACAAAAAGTAACATATACATATGTTTCAGTTGATTATCTTACAAACATGTGATAATCGCTGTTGCTAGATTTCGGCGACAAATCCCTGTGTTTTAAAGAGCGGTCGACAGCTGACCATAAACAGATGACCGATAAGAATTTTGGAGCCTGCGGTTATGGTCAGTTTGAGCGGACTACATGAGCAACCACTGGTTACCAAGTACTTTAATAAGAGCCAGTTGTATGACAGAACAAAATGCATTTTTCTCAGCCTGTCAATTATTGTCCAGTATTTTGATCGTTTGTATGACAGAGTATAATATATTTTCTTATTGTTTGTAATTTATGGTCACGTATGAAAACCTGTTTAAATAATTAGCATGACAGATTAACTGCACTTAAATATGTCAATGAAAAAATGTCTCTGTATGTTTAAACCGTGGAACGACAGAATAGAATGCGCTTCTCGTCGTTTGTAACTTACAGTTTCATAAAAGAACGGGATGTAGTTCTGCGCCAGAAACTGAAGAGAAGTAAATCCTACTGTCTATTGAAGTAAATCCTACTGTCTATTGAAATAAATCCTACCATCTATTGAAGTAAATCCTACCGTCTATTGAAGTAAATCCTACTGTCTATTGAAGTAAATCCTACCGTCTATTGAAGTGAATCCTACCGTCTATTGAAGAAAATCCTACTGTCTATTGACGTAAATCCTACTGTCTATTGAAGTAAATCCTACTGTCTATTGGAGTAAATCCTACTGTCTATTGAAGAAAATCCTACCGTCTATTGAAGTAAATCATACCGTCTATTGAAGTAAATCCTACCGTCTATTGAAGTAAATCCTACTGTCTATTGAAGTAAATCCTACCGTCTATTGAAGTAAATCCTACCGTCTATTGAAGTAAATCCTAACGTCTATTGCGATGGTAGACTTCTGTCTTTGATCTTTGGTAACAATATCTTATTTGAAGCCATTAATCACGGTAGTTGTGACATGTGGGCCTGCATGGGTCCTACCAGTTTACCTTTTTATGTTTGTTATGTCTTCCGTTTCGTTTTGGTGTCCTGTGTTCTGCATTTCGTCCTTAATTTAAATTTAATATGCATTGACGTTGAACTTCTTTTTACTTATTCCGTATTGTCATTTTAGGGTTCTCAAGAGGAGAAATCGACTATCAAACACAGTCAGTGACAGAGTGGCTAGCGTTCTGTTGCAGGTATATTATGTGTACTTTATTTTAACGTAGAACGTTGCATGTATTACACAAATATCAGTTGGTCAAATTTACAAAGGCTTTTCTACTGTCGTAAAACTGTGTGATCATTGGTTAAAACATGCTTCTAGCAGTATACCCCTCAAAACCGAATGTAATGTAAGCAGTCAAACTTTAAAAAAAAAGTAAATAAAACAAAAACAAAAACAATATTTTCTGATAAATTTCATTTTTGGACTTTCAGTTTATAATGAGTAGTTTTGAAGTACCGTTTCTGAATTTCAAATATTGGTTTTGTTTTTTGGTTTGGTACTCCCATGCCTGTAATAAATGGTGGAGGTAAATTCGTCATGCCGGTCAATGGACGACATAGACAGTAGAACCTACCCCGGTCGTCACCATTACTTTATTTTCTACGATACACGTTCAATGTCCGTTGTGTCATAGGTGTGTCATTGATGTTTCATTGATGTGTCATTGATGTTGATGTGTCATTGATGTGTCTTTGATGTGTCATTGATGTGTCATTGATGTTGATGTGTCATTGATGTGTCTTTGATGTGTCGTTGATGTGTCTTTGTTTGTCATTGATGTGTCATTGATGTTGATGTGTCATTGATGTGTCTTTGATGTGTCATTGATGTGTCGTTGATGTGTCTTTGTTTGTCATTGATGTATCATTGATGTGCCTTTGTTTGTCATTGATGTATCATTGATGTGTCATTGATGTGTCTTTGATGTATCATTGATGTGCCTTTGTTTGTCATTGATGTGTCTTTGATGTGTCATTGATGTGCCTTTGATTTTTCATTGATGTGTCATTGATATGTCATTGATGTTGATGTGTCATTGATGTGTCATTTATGTGTCTTTGATGTGTCATTGATGGATGTGTCATTGATGTGTCATTGATGTATCTTTGATGTGTAATTGATGTATCATTGATGTGCCTTTGTTTGTCATTGATGTGTCATTGATGTGTCTTTGATGTGTCATTGATGTGTCATTTATGTGTCTTTGATGTATCTTTGATGTGTCATTGATGTGTCTTAGTTGTGTCATTGATGTGTCGTTGATGTGTCATTGATGTGTCTTTGATGTGTCTTAATTGTTTCATTGATGTTTCATTGATGTGTCATTGATGTGTCATTGATGTGTCTTTGATGTGTCATTGATGTTTCATTGATGTTTCTTTGATGTGTCATTGATGTGTCTTTGATGTGTCATTGATGTGTCATTGATGTGTCTTAGATGTGTCATTGATGTGTCGTTGATGTGTCATTGATGTGTCTTAGATGTGTCTTTGATGTGTCATTGATGTGTCTTAGATGTGTCTTTGATGTGTCTTTGATGTGTCTTTGATGTGTCATTGATGTGTCTTTGATGTGTCATTGATGTGTCTTTGATGTGTCATTGATGTGTCTTTGATGTGTCATTGATGTGTCTTTGATGTGTCTTTGATGTGTCATTGATGTGTCTTTGATGTGTCTTTGATGTGTCATTGATGTGTCTTTGATGTGTCATTGATGTGTCTTTGATGTGTCATTGATGTGTCTTTGATGTGTCATTGATGTGTCATTGATGTGTCTTTGATGTGTCATTGATGTGTCTTAGATGTGTCTTTGATGTGTCATTGATGTGTCTTTGATGTGTCTTTGATGTGTCATTGATGTGTCTTAGATGTGTCATTGATGTGTCGTTGATGTGTCATTGATGTGTCGTTGATGTGTCATTGATGTGTCTTAGATGTGTCATTGATGTGTCGTTGATGTGTCATTGATGTATCTTAGATGTGTCTTTGATGTGTCATTGATGTGTCTTAGATGTGTCTTTGATGTGTCATTGATGTGTCTTTGATGTGTCTTTGATGTGTCATTGATGTGTCTTAGATGTGTCATTGATGTGTCGTTGATGTGTCATTGATGTGTCGTTGATGTGTCATTGATGTGTCTTAGATGTGTCATTGATGTGTCGTTGATGTGTCATTGATGTATCTTAGATGTGTCTTTGATGTGTCATTGATGTGTCTTAGATGTGTCTTTGATGTGTCATTGATGTGTCTTTGATGTGTCATTGATGTGTCTTTGATGTGTCATTGTTGTGTCTTTGATGTGTCATTGATGTGTCTTAGATGTGTCATTGATGTGTCTTAGATGTGTCTTTGATGTGTCATTGATGTGTCTTTGATGTGTCTTTGATGTGTCATTGATGTGTCTTTGATGTGTCATTGATGTGTCTTTGATGTGTCATTGATGTGTCTTTGATGTGTCATTGATGTGTCTTAGATGTGTCTTTGATGTGTCATTGATGTGTCTTTGATGTGTCTTTGATGTGTCATTGATGTGTCTTAGATGTGTCATTGATGTGTCGTTGATGTGTCATTGATGTGTCGTTGATGTGTCATTGATGTGTCTTAGATGTGTCATTGATGTGTCTTTGATGTGTCATTGATGTATCTTAGATGTGTCTTTGATGTGTCATTGATGTGTCTTTGATGTGTCTTTGATGTGTCATTGATGTGTCTTTGATGTGTCATTGATGTGTCTTTGATGTGTCATTGATGTGTCTTTGATGTGTCATTGATGTGTCTTAGATGTGTCTTTGATGTGTCATTGATGTGTCTTTGATGTGTCTTTGATGTGTCATTGATGTGTCTTTGATGTGTCATTGATGTGTCTTTGATGTGTCATTGATGTGTCTTTGATGTGTCATTGATGTGTCTTAGATGTGTCTTTGATGTGTCATTGATGTGTCTTTGATGTGTCTTTGATGTGTCATTGATGTGTCTTTGATGTGTCATTGATGTGTCTTTGATGTGTCATTGATGTGTCGTTGATGTGTCATTGATGTGTCTTAGATGTGTCATTGATGTGTCGTTGATGTGTCATTGATGTGTCTTAGATGTGTCATTGATGTTTCATTGATGTGTCTTTGATGTGTCTTTGATGTGTCATTGATGTGTCTTTGATGTGTCATTGATGTGTCATTGTTGTGTTTTTGATGTGTCATTGATGTGTCTCAGAGGATTATCTGTAAAATGATCATTTCCTCACGTTCTACAGAAAAAGCTTATATTTCGCGACGCTTAGCATCATAAAAAAACCGAAAAACTTACCCCTCTGGTTCACTTGCCCGTCTGTAGCTCAGAAAAACGAAATCAATACCAATCTTACTAAATTCTTTTGTTCTAGAAACGATGGATTTGCTGGCACTGAGATCGACCTCCCAAACTCTGATCCGTTCTACCTGTTTCGACACCAAGGTCAGTGTCAGAAGGTCAAGGGCATGCTTACCCAGGAGGAGTTCATATTTTTCGATAACAATAATCACGGATTCATGGGAGCCTTTCCCTACGTCATCACAACGACTGGACTGGAGATCAGGTTCTGCTACTATTACCCGACAGGTGAGATAAACTTCTCTTAAGTTACTGTTACTACACATCTACATGTGAGATAAACGTCTCCTTCGTTACTGCAACTAAACACATACAGCTTAGATAAATATCTCCTTAGTTACTGCTACTATTTCCTGACAGGAGAGATAAATATTTCCTTGGTAACTGTTACTATTTTCCGACAGGAGGGATAAACGTCTCCTTGGTAACTGTTACTACACACATACAGCTGAGATAAACATCTCCTTCGTTACTGTTACTACACATCTACATATGAGATAAACGTCTCCTTGGTAACTGTTACTACACACATACAGCTGAGATCGATATATCCTTGGTTACTGTTACTTATTTCCGACAGGAGAGATACGTATCTCCTTGGTTACTGTCACTTATTTCCGACAGGAGAGATACATATCTCATTGGTTACTGCTGCTATTTCCCGACAGGAGAGATAAATATCTCCTTTGTTACTGTTACTTATTTCCGACAGGAGAGATAAGTATCCCCTTGGTTACTGTTACTACACATCTACATGTAAGGTAAACGTCTCCTTGGTTACTGATATTACACACATACATGTGAGGTAAACGTCTCCTTGGTTACTGTTACTACACACATACAGCTGAGATAAACGTCTCCTTCGTTACTGCTACTAAACACATACAGCTGAGATAAATATCTCCTTGGTTACTGTTAATAATTTCCGACAGGAGAGATAAATATCTCCTTGGTTACTGTTACTTATTTCCGACAGGAGAGATACATATCTCATTGGTTACTGCTGCTATTTCCCGACAGGAGAGATAAATATCTCCTTGGTTACTTTTACTATTTCCCGACTATAGAGATAAACGTCTCATTCGTTACTGCTACTACACACATACCGCTGAGATAGATATATCCTTGGTTACTGTTACTTTTTCCCGACATGGGAGATAAATATCTCCTCAGCTACTGCTACTATTTCCTGACAGGAAAGATAAATATCTCCTTGGTTACTGTTACTATTTTTCCCTACGGGATAGATAAACGTCTCCTTGGTTACTGCTACTAAACAACTTCAGTTGCGTTAAATATATACTGTTACTATTTCCCGACGGGAGAGATAATTGTGGTTACTGCTACTACACACCTACAGGTAAGATAACATTGGAATGGTACCTGTTACTATAAAACCTACAGATAAGATAAACAATTACTTGGTTATTGTTACTACACACCTACAGGTGAGTTATCCATCTCCTTGGTTACTGTTACTACACACCTACAGGTGAATTATCCATCTCGTTGGTGACTGCTACTACACACGATAGGTGAGGTAAATGTCTCGTTGGTGAGTGTTACTACATATCTACAGGTGAGGTAAATGTCCCTTGGTTACGTTACTACACACCTACAGGTGAGGTAAATGTCCCTTGGTTACTGTTACTACACACCTACAGGTGAGGTAAATGTCCCTTGGTTACTGTTACTACACACCTACAGGTGAGGTAAATTCCCCTTGGTTACTATTAATACACACCTACAGGTGAGGTAAATGTTCCCTTGGTTACTGTTACTACACACCTACAGGTGAGGTAAATGTTCCTTGGTTACTGTTACTACACACCTACTAGTGAGGTAAATGTTCCCTTGGTTACTGTTACTACACACCTATAGGTGAGGCAAATGTCCCCTTTTGTTACTGTTACTACACACCTACAATGGAGGTAAATGTCCCCTTTGAGAGATGAACATCTCTACGATTACTGATACTAAACATGATTACTATGACTAGATGACAAACGTTTGTATTGGTACTGTTTCTACAAACCTTCAAGTGATAAACATACTATATCTGGAGATTGGGTCTTCCTTTCCTACAAGTGATAAACATACTATATCTGGAGATTGGGTCTTCCTTTCCTACAAGTGATAAACATACTATATCTGGAGATTGGGTCTTCCTTTCCTACAAGTGATAAACATACTATATCTGGAGATTGGGTCTTCCTTTCCTACAAGTGATAAACATACTATATCTGGAGATTGGGTCTTCCTTTCCTACAAGTGATAAACATACTATATCTGGAGATTGGGTCTTCCTTTCCTACAAGTGATAAACATACTATATCTGGAGATTGGGTCTTCCTTTCCTACAGGTGATAAACATACTATATCTGGAGACTGGGTCTTCCTTTCCTACAATCGATAAACATGTATTTTTTGGTATTCATGCTTTTGTTCTTATCGATGAGACACGTTTTACCGTTGCTAACATAATTCATAGGTAAATACAGTCATCTTTGTGTGATATAAATGTCGGTATTCTTAACGCTCATTAGTGTGCCCTTGATTATTGTTTTCAATAACATACCTTTCGCCAAGGCGACCGGGGTTCGAATCTCGGATCAGACGTGAATAAGAATGGGGTCACCTGCCCGACCACTTGGGTTTTCCCCAGGTACTCCAGTTCCCTCCCACATTCAGACCGAGCCGTGCGAATATAAGTTTGAAAAAATTGTTTCATAATTGTTTTAAAATAAACCAAGTTTGAAAAAAGGCCAATAACCGAATTACCGATGTGAGAACGTTTAGATTTGTATGACGGGTGTTGAGGAGGAAGCAGACGACGCTGAACACCTGATTTCATTCTCCTTGTACCTTTCCAATCGTCACCATGTTCTTTTTGTTCCTATTTTGTTCCAGCTGATCGATTCGATGGTTTTGTGGATCCTTGGCTATTCTCTTGTTATTTTGTTCTTCTGCATCATTGCAGCTTTGTGCTTTCTTTTGTTAATTTTGCATTTCACTCTACAGTCTTAAAATGTATAATGATGTAGCGAATAACATAAATATTGGACATGTTACTGAATTTCTACCACAATACGCTCTGTTATTCCACTCTCAGATCATTGTATAAACACGCAGACTGTTAGACAAATATGAGTTATATACCACACGTGGTACATGACCTTCAAGAGTTTTGATTGGTCGAGAAGATGAACTTGACCAGGAAGGGGGGTTATTAAGGCAATATTAAAAGATGATACTTAAAGACGCTAGTTTCAGGCAAAATTGCTACAGACGCTCGATATCGTTTCGACATCACACCGTCACGTGTCCTGAAACCAAAACAAGATCTGTGACAGTGTCGGGAAATATTTTGTTCTCCCAACGTCCCGTTATCGCCATTTAGACGGTCCGACTATGGCTGAACTTCACTATAAACGTCAACCATAGAACCGTCACGAAGAAACGTAGGCCTATGGTTTTGGATATTGACAGCGATAAGTTCGTCTACAACGGTTCATCACTTGGCGGGAGGCAGAATTCGTACGATATGCTTACGCGAATATAGTCCGTGGTTAATTTATATAAATTAATGCAATACTGCTACTCTCAATATTTAAAGTTGCTCATCTATTTTATTTTTTAAAGTTACAGAAAGACACTCGCTAAAGCTCTTGAGAAATAAATACCATATTCAACAACCACTCGTTGTGTAACCTCTATGTCTCCTCTTTGATATTATAAAAGGTATCTAAACACACAAGGACATGTATTACTAACAGCAGAATGTTCAATACAGTAAAGACAATTTAACCTTATTGATATTTTTTGTGAAGAAAGCCAGGTGGTGATCCGTGATATGTTTCTGACATTTAATTTTGTGCTTCATATTAATTTGATCAATAATTTTAACTTTCACTTTTTAAATGAATAAATGAATGGCTGAAAGAAGGAACGAGTTAATGAACTAATGCATGTTTATCATCAATCAGCCAACCTATCAGTATGGCCGAAGGGAACAGCGGAGCTGCCACAGCCAGAAACTGGTTGTCCGACGAGTTGGGAGACGATGGTGTTTACACTTCACCCTGAGACAGGGGGGAACACTCACCACAGTCTAGTCAGCCACTTGAGAGGTTGGTGTTTCGTTGTTTGGGATTATATATCTTTGTAAAATATCAGGTCATATGACGACTGTGTCCTCATATCAACAAAGGTAGTATGACGACTGTGTTCACAAAACAACGAAGGTAGTATGACGACTGTGTTCACACAATAACGGAGGTAGTATGACGACGGTGTTCACACAATAACGGAGGTAGTATGACGACTGTTCTCACACAATAACAGAGGTAGTATGACGACTGTGTTCACACAACAACAAAGGTAATATGACGACTGTGTTCACACAACAACGGAGGTAGTATAGCGACTGTGTTCACACGACAACGGAGGTAGTATGACGACTGTGTTCACACAATAACGAAGATAGTATGACGACTGTGTTCACACAAAAACGAAGATAGTATGACGACTGTACCCATACAATTACGAAGATAGTATGACAACTGTGTTCACACAACAACGGAGGTAGTATGACGACTGTGTTCACACAATAACGAAGATAGTATGACGACTGTACCCATACAATTACGAAGATAGTATGACGACTGTGTTCACACAACAACAGAGGTAGTATGACGACTGTGTTCACACGACAACGGAGGTAGTATGACGACTGTGTACACACAACAACAAAGGTAATATGACGACTGTGTTCACACAACAAAAAAGGTAGTATGACGACTGTGTTCACACAACAAAAAAGGTAGTATGACGACTGTGTTCACACGACAACGGAGGTAGTATGACGACTGTGTTCACACAATAACGAAGATAGTATGACGACTGTGTTCAAACAACAACGGAGGTAGAATGGCGACTGTGTTCACACATCAACGGAGGTAGTATGGCGAACATACCCACACAATAACAAAGGTAGTATGACGACTGTACTCACACAATAACAAAGGAAGTATGAAGACTGTACACACAACAACGAAGGTAGAATGACGCATGTGCTCACACAAGAACAAAGGTAGTATGACGACTGTGGTCACACAACAACAAAGGTAGTATGACGACTGTGGTCACACAACAACGAAGGTAGTATGACGATTGTGGTCACACAACGTAGTATGACGACTGTGGTCACACGACAACGGAGGTAGTATGACGACTGTGTTCACACAACAAAACAGGTTGTATGACGACTGTGGTCACACAACAACGGAGGTAGTATGACGACTGTGTTCACACAATAACGAAGGTAGTATGACGACTGTGTTCACAAAACAACGGAGGTAGTATAGCGACTGTGTTCACACAACAACGGAGGTAGTATAGCGACTGTGTTCACACAACGACGGAGGTAGTATGGCGACAATGGTCACACAACAACGAAGGTAGTATGACGACTTTGGTCACACAACATTGGAGGTAGTATGACAACTGTGTTCAAACAATAACGAAGATAGTATGACGACTGCACTCACACAACAACGGGGGTAGTATGGCAACCGTACCCACATAATAACGAAGGTAGTATGACGACTTTGGTCACACAACAGTGGAGGTAGTATGACGACTGTGGTCACACAACAACGGAGGTAGTATGACGACTGTGTTCACACAATAACGAAGGTAGTATGACGACTGTGTTCACAAAATAACGGAGATAGTATGAAAACTATGTTCAGACAATAACGAAGATAGTATGACGACTGTGTTCACACAATAACGAAGATAGTATGACGACTGTACTCACACAATAACAAAGGTAGTATGGCGACTGTGTTCACACAACAACGGAGGTAGTATTACGACTGTGTTCACACAACAACGGAGGTAGTATGACTGTGTACACACAACAACAAAGGTAATATGACAACTGTGTTCAAACAATAACGAAGATAGTATGACGACTGTGTTCACACAATAACGAAGATATTATGACGACTGTGTTCACACAAAAACGAAGATAGTATGACGACTGTGTTCACACAAAAACGAAGATAGTATGACGACTGTACCCATACAATTACGAAGATAGTATGACGACTGTGTTCACACAACAACAAAGGGAGTATTACGACATTACTCACACAATACCAAAGATAGTATGACGACTGTGTTCACACAACAACGAAGATAGTATGACGACTGTGGTCACACAACAACAAAGGTAGTATGACGACTGTTGTCACACAACAACGATGGTAGTATGACGACTGTGGTCACACAACAACGAAGGTAGTATGACGACTGTGGTCACACAACAAAGATGCTAATATGACGACTTTGGTCACACAACAATGGAGGTAGTATGACGACTGTGTTCACACAACAACGCAGGTAGTATAGCGACTGTGTTCACACAACGACGGAGGTAGTATGGCGACAATGGTCACACAACAACGAAGGTAGTATGACGACTGTGGTCACACAACAAAGATGGTAATATGACGACTTTGGTCACACAACAATGGAGCTAGTATGACAACATTACTCACACAATAACAAAGGTAGTATGACGACTGTGGTCACACAACAACAAATGTAGTATTACGACTATGGTCACACAACAAGGAAGGTAGTATGACGACTTTGGTCACACAACATTGGAGGTAGTATGACGACTGTGTTCACACAACAACAAAGGGAGTATTACGACATTACTCACACAATACCAAAGATAGTATGACGACTGTGGTCACACAACAACGGAAATAGTATGACGAACGACTGTGGCCAAATAACAACGCAGGAAGTATGACGACTATGGTCACACAACAACGAAGGTAGTATGACGACTGTGGTCACACAACAAAGATGCTAATATGACGACTTTGGTCACACAACAATGGAGGTAGTATGACGACTGTGTTCACACAACAACGAAGATAGTATGACGACTGTGGTCACACAACAACAAAGGTAGTATGACGACTGTGGTCACACAACAACAAATGTAGTATTACGACTATGGTCACACAACAAGGAAGGTAGTATGACGACTTTGGTCACACAACAATGGAGGTAGTATGACGACTGTGTTCACACAACAACGGAGGTAGTATTACGACTGTGTTCACACAACACCAAAGGTAGTATCACGACTGTGGTCACACAACAAAGATGGTAATATGACGACGTGGTCACACAACAACAAAGGTAGTATGACGACTGTGGTCACACAACAACGAAGGTAGTATGACGATTGTGGTCACACAACAACGAAGGTAGTATGACGACTGTTGTCACACAACAAAGATGGTAATATGACGACGTGGTCACACAACAACAAAGGTAGTATGACGACTGTGTCATTATCTCAGATTCCTTTGAGGACGTGACGTTTCTGGGATCTATCCTGGAGTTTTATTACGGGAGTTGTGCATACATTGAACACACTAAATATTCCGGAACACCTGGTCTTATTCTCCCCGTACCTTTTTACCATATCTTAATGCCAATCTTTCCATAGTGTCATCAATTATTATTTCGAAGTACACTTTTGGGATCACTTTTGTGTTCTTTTTACAGCTAGATTTTAATTAGTTTTATCTCTACCGTAGGGCCGATAACCGCTGATACACTGGACTGGTATTTCTGTAGAAAACCAACAGAGTATGGACCATACCGTTGGCCGGCTGGTGACTACTGTGTGGCCGGACAGAGTTGTCCAACAGGTAGGTCAGGACCATGTTACCTGTCGGTATAATTTGCTGATAAACTAATAATTTGCTTATTTGTTGAAAATATTTGGATGTGATAGTTTGATTTTGTTTCATTTTGTTTAACGTTATATCAATTGCTGAGGCTATTAAAGGAGATGTATTCATGAGTGTTGTATATACGTGGTTGCGTGGATCTGGTGCCGACTTTCTAGTCCTGTAGTTTTTGCAGTATTAGAAATAACGCATCACTAGATAGATTCTCAAATAGCCCGTAACGCTAACATCTATAGCGTGGCAATATTTGGAAACAACCAATAGGCGGAAATGCGGAACGTGTATCAAAACCTTTAATTACAGTTCCTTAATTAGCAATTACTTAAACTAACTTCATTCGCGGTGATTCCCATTAATTATATTAGCATATTAGCAATTAAAAACATTCTCAGTTTTAACATGTTGCGTGGTACTTGATAGGACAAATAATATCCACCAAATATACACGTTTCTCATTTTCACATACTCCATTGTTTTCACATATTGGCAGCTCTTCACGATTTCACTTTTGTATTACAAATATACATACCATGGCCTTTCTTTGACTCAATGATGTTTGTTAGCAAACATTTTAATGATTTCCGCTTATTTATTGTGGAATACTTGAACGTTTTACAAGAGAAAAAACATAAATATATATTTTATCCGTAACACAGGTTTCGGGAAAGGGCAAATATATCTGGACACGGAAGACGATATGAATACAGAAAACAAAATGCTATACGTATGCTGCAGGTACGTTTATCATCATCATCACCGACTGTTGATAGTGGGGTAAACTGGTCGGTTTATTATTATCATTAACTTTTGATGGTGGTGTAAACAGGTCTGTATATTATCATCATTGACTTTTGATTGCTGGGTAAACTGGTCAGTATATTATCATCATTGACTTTTGATTATTGGGTAAACAGGTCTGTTTATTATCATTATTGACTTTTGATGGTGGGGTAAACTGGTCTGTATACTTGACTTTTGATGGTGGGGTAAACAGGTCTGTATATCATAATTTGCTTTTGCTGATCGGATCAATAAATCTGTATACTACCATCATTGGGTTTTGATAGTCGGGAGTACGTTGTTTCACAGTAGCAAGCATACACAGAGGAACAATAAGGCGATCCATCGCTACACGAAACTTGTCAATGAGTTGCGAGGCCAATGGCTGCGGTAACACATTGACGATGTCTTTACAGTCAGGAGCTGCTTTTGTATCCACTTCTTGATCAAATTCGCGGGGTTGTGTGCAGGCAGTCCATATGTCTATGTGTGCATGCTTTTAAATCTTTTGTGATGACAGGCAAACCATATAAACAATATACAATATTTTAAATATTTCAAACTCGGGACTCAGTGCTGAAGTTCACCCGAATGAGCCAGAGAAACCAGGGTAAAACCCAATATAGCGTGACACATATATAACTAACTGGGTATAAGGTTATCAATAAATAACATGTTCTAACGCTTCTTAAAACACATTTTATTTATTGGTTTTAAGGATGCAAAGCAAAGCTTAAATGATAAGGAAACCTCTTTGTTTTGGCAGAAATGATGGTTTGGCTAGCACGGCGATTGACCTCCCGACCTCTGACCCCTTTTACTTGTTCCGATACAAAGGTCAATGTCAGGAGGTCAAAGGATTGGTTGTGGTGGAGGAGTTCTTGTACATTGATACGGAGGATTTCAGCAATAGTAACCAACTCGTAGGAGAAACCCCCTACGTAGGTTCTGACGGCACAGACAACGTGGAGATACACTTCTGTTATTATCACAATACCTAAACAGTCAACGGACACGCTTGCCTATGTGTGAACAGGTGAAAAAACAAACATCATTACAAATGTATGGCGTGAATAAAGTGTCACATAAGACAAATCGTTAATAGTTATATATGATATATCGCCAAGTAATATATTGCTCACACGCACACACGTATGTATTTCTTTTGTTTTTCGGGTTGGGGGTTATGGGGGTGGGGGTTGATTATAAGGAATTAAATAATCCATCAACCCCGCTAAACTTTGAAGCAGGTTTGAGTATTGAGGATCGATAACATTAATAAAAATAAATCATAAGCACCCTGCCTTCACTAAACATTAATAAAAGCACCCGTTTTACCTGAAATATTATTTGAAATATCGTTGTACTTTCGTATTGTTTTGCAACCCAGCAAGTAAGTCATTAATAATAACAAGAATACTTTAAAAAAAACATTAATATTATATATATTTCTGGTAAAGATGAATTGACTGCGAATAAATATCTTCCAATGTCACTTACAGCGTGTTAATCAAATGGTGTTGCTTAAATCCGTCAAAGTATCAGTCACTTTCATACACAAGGTTGTGAGGTGTGTATCGGCGTTGTGTAGACCTAGGACCATATCGTGATGAAGTAAACGTCTGGTAAGCTTTTAGAAGTTACCACGCCAACATATGACATAGGTAGACGTTATAAGTGAGGTTGTGTTTATTAACACATAGTCTCCACCCAGGAGAGACATTTTGGCCTGGGAAGTATTTATACATACAAGTAAGTGTATCACACGACATCACAAAAGTCAGAATTATATTCTATATTTGTTATAACATGTATATGCTCAATAGGCCTTTATTTCAAGTTCATTTTATATATTACATACAACAGTGTTATTTTACAATGTGATATTTTTATACCACTATATCGTATGTTGTTATTTGTACATAATGTAAAAGTTTTTTATTGCTGTATAGTTTGATATTTTTAATATCACAATATGGTATATTGTTATCTGTACACAATGTGAAAAATTATTATTAGCTCACCGGGTCCGAAGGACCAAGGTGAGCTTATGCCATACCGTGGCGTCCGTCGTCCGTCCGTCAACAATTTCTTTAAACGACTTCTTCTTCTTAACCACCGATTGGAATTTAACTAGATCTGACTGGAAGCATCCCTAGCCGGTGGGAATTCAAAATTGTACAGATGGTGGGGCTGACCCCCAGGGGGCTGAGGGGGCGTGGCAAAAAGGGGGCAATTTGGCTATATTGCTTTAAGCGACTTCTTCTCTGGAACTAAGAGATGGATATCAACCATATTTGACTGGAAGCATCCCTAGGTGGTGGAGATTCAAAATTGAACAAATGGTGGGGCTGACCCCCAGGGGGCTGAGGGCGGGGCCAAAAAGGGGCAATTTGGCTATATTGCTTTAAACGACTTCTTCTTTAGAACTATGGCATGGATATCGATCATATTTGGTCGGAAGCATTCACGGGAGGCAGGGATTCAAAATTGTACAAATGGTGGGGCTGACCCCCCCAGGGGACTGGGGGTGGGGCCAAAAAGGGTTATTTAATATATTGCTTTAAGCAACTTTTTCTCTAGAACTAAGTGATGGACATCAACCATATAAGACTGGAAGCATCCCTAGGTGGTAGGGATTCAAAATTGAACAAATGGTGGGGCTGAACCCCAGGGGGCTGAGGGCGGGGCCAAAAAGGGGCAATTTGGCTATATTGCTTTAAACGACTTCTTCTGTAGAACTATGGCATGGATATCGATCATATTTGGTCGGAAGCATTCACGGGAGGCAGGGATTCAAAATTGTACAAATGGTGGGGCTGACCCTCCCCCCGAGCTAAGGGGTGGGGCCAAAAAAGTGTATTGCTTGGAAATGGTTGAGATCCTCACCATATAACCACATATACAATTGCTGAGTATAAAGAAAAGAATGCACATTTGCTTCCAGGATGGCACTAGGGTCTGGCCCCACCCTTGGAAACATAGTCCTTGGGCCATAACTTTAAAACTGTTAAGATCCCCACCCCAAAACTATATATACATAAGCTGGGCATAAAGAGACGAATGCAGTCACGATGTTAGAATATACCCTGGGGTCTGGCCGAACCCCTAGGGACCTTGTTTCTTAGTCCCAGCTTGAAAGTAGTTGAGATCCCCACCCTATAACCATATAGACAATGGCTGAGTATAAAGAGATGAATGCACATATGCTTCCAGGATGGCCTTGGGGACTGCCACCCCATTGGAGACTTAACCCCTGGGTCATAACTTCGAAATTGTTAAGATCCCCACCCCAAAACTATATATACAATTGTTGGGCATAAAGAGACGAATGTAGTCTTGATATTAGAATTGATCCCAGGGTTTGCCCCACCATTGCAGACTTAACCCCTGGGTCATAACTTTGAAACGGTTGAGATCCCCACCCCATAACCATACATAAAAATGCTGGGCATGAAAAATCGAATACAGATATATATGCTACAAGGATTGGCCTTGGGGTCTGGCATATTCCCTTGGATCTCATTTTGAGAATATTTTGCCATGATTGCTTAGATATCAAGGTGAGCGATAAAGGCCCTATGGGCCTCTTGTTGTTTTGTCCAGAATGTAAAAGTGTATTTTTGTTGTATATAGTGTGATTTTTTAAATCACAACATAGTTTGTTATTTGTACATTATGTAGAAATGTATTATTGTTGTGTAAAGTATGTGAACCTTTGTTACTGTTGTTCATTTGTTATAATGTTATTCATACAAAATGTACAATTTGTTTTATATTGGTTATTACATTTAAAATAATTGTATTAGTTGGAAATGCCTACTGTATTATATTCGTATATAAAAAGTGCTATATTGTATGTTGTGAATTGTATATAAGACTTTTTGGGATTGGACATTATTATTGGGTACAATTGTAAGAGTTGTCTCTCTTTTTTTAAATTTTTTTTTTAATCTTTATTATTTTTTGTATTATAAATAAGTCCGCAAGATATTTATTTTTTGTCACCTATATTTTCTTTTCGTTATCCTTAACCTTTTGCAATGGCACTCGGAATTTTATTAATTCATGTAATGGGCATTTTTGTTTTTTTAGTATTATTGTTTGAAAATTACTCATTTTTTTATGTTTTGTTCATCAATATTGACATTAATATTATTTTGTATGTGTTATATTTCTAATAAACTATTTTTGCATCAATAAAATGTAATTTGTTTCATTGTGTTCAATTGAAAAAATAAATATAATAAAAAAATAAATCGAAAATTCATAATATCACAAAATATCTGAGAAAAACTTCCGCAAGGTATGTGTTATTGTTCAGAAATGATTTGGTTATTCAATAGCGATGCCGTGGACGAAAAAACAACGATGCCTCATTACATGTTTAGGCGGAGGGACGGGGGTCCTTAAAGCAGGTTTGAGTATCGAGGATCGATAAAATTAATCAAAAATAAATCATAAGCACCCCACCTTCAATAAACACTAGTAAAACACCCGTTTCCATTTGATTTGAAATATTATTTGAAACATCGTTTTTCTTTCGTATTGTTTTGCAACCCAGCTAGTAAGTCATACATAATAGACAAGAAGACTTAGACATTAATGTTATATATATTTCTGGTAAAGATGAATTGACTGCGAATACGTATCTTCCAATGTCACTTACAGCGTGTTAATCAAATGGTGTTGCTTAAATCCGTCAACGTATCAGTCACTTTCATACACAAGGTTGTGAGGTGTGTATCGGCGTTGTGTTAACCTAGGACCATATCGTGATGAAGTTCATTCATTCTGTATTACCTTTAACTTTGCGGTTTATCAGTTCAGTGCATATATACAGTGCAAATTATACAGTATATATATATATAGGAGTACAGAGAATACAAACTTCCGAACATGCATACACGATAAAATCACAGAGAAAGTGTAGAAAGTGATTCCTTTAATCTTAAACAGTATTGCATCTCTTCCCTTTACTAGAGTATTCCGTTTTATAACCATGAACTATTTAATGTTGAAACAGACGGGATCGAGGTTGGCAGAGTACCGGGCCTAATTAGCTTGATGAGAATTTAATCAGTGTATTCTATATAGGCGTCATTGGGTTCGAAATGATCATCATCATCATATAATATGTGACATGATTGAAGTAATTATTTTATATTTGAGATGAAATCAGTTCAGCCCGAGAGGTTGATATAATAACTGTATAAACCTAATTCGGATGAACACAACATCTACAGCATAATATGTGACGTTATCTTAAAACAATTTGAAGTAAGCAACTAAATTATTGATAAAAAGCCATAAAGGGGTTGATTCAATCAGTAGAGGCGAGAACAAAATACATAAATGAGCACTTTGTGTCAGTAAAGACAGGACAGCGTAACGAGGGCACTCTGTGAAGTAAAGGGTATGTAAGTAATTCAGCGATTGACAGAACATATAAATAAAGCTTAAAAACTGTATGCAGGATGATAAATCGTAACCAAATCGCATGACGAACGTAACCAGGCATAAAAAGGTATAGACAGACTGATCGGACGATCATGCACAGACTATCTGATATTTCCGATCGGCTTGCTTGGCAACACCTCACATGCTGCTTTAATGTTGAACGTTTAACCAATGAGGAAGGCAAAAGGTTCTGACCAAAGACCGGGGCAAATCAAAGGCTTCACAAAATGGTAGTTGTTATTCCCTGCGTAACGCTAAGCATTAAGGGTAATGGAAACAACTGGTTCACCAATTGTCAGTGTAATGTGCCCAGACGAAATATTGTGCCTGGTGCCTTCTGCATGGTATTTCACTGGGATAACACTCTAAAGTCGGCATCAGATCCGTGCTATCACAAGAGGCAAATGCACCATCATACCCTGTCTCAGGCACATACCCGCACATGTACGCATACACGACACGCTTGGAGGGACGTCCTTAAATGACCTTCACATAGCAAGATATCATGATCTCGGACGATCAGACACTTGACCAAATATAGGCACGGAAGACCTGATAAGACACAATAGTCCCGGATGTTCATAACTAAGCTACGCCATGATCTGTTCTACGA